AATTGCTGCCAATACCAAGGCATTACGATCTGTATTGTTAGCTGTTTTTTTACAGATCTTTTAATTATAGCGTGCACTTGGTCAGCTTCTAAATGACTGTGTCGTCTCAGTAAATATTTATGGTTAACTACTTTTAAATTAGGGCAGATGTTCAAAAGCCAAAAGTAGCTCATCATTAACATTACATTGCGGTTTTGATTAGGGCAATTATCTGACCAAATAACCAATTATTCCACATCAGTTTGTGATAGAACTGTCATGGCCCATTCAGTTAATGCCGAGGCAATTTCATGGCCACCCCTTCCAGCTTCGGATTCATCCCAGATATGGTAATACGATTTATTTTCTGTGGCGTCGTATATCGTGAAATTTATAGTCCATAATTTTAGCTTGTAGAAACTTTGGTTATTTGTCAAATAAGGCGTAGGCAAGCATTTCTGCAAATCACACATTATAATTTTAGTTTGTTCAGCTGATTGTCTGCTTTCCTTTTTATCGTTTGCTTTCATTTTGTATCGATTTTCTCCTTCTTGAAGATGCTGTTCATAATTTCGCCGTAATTTTATTATTTCTTGCTCGGAACAGTTTTTTAATTGTAGCATAAACGGATCGTAACTATTACAAGTATCCACTGAAACCGATTTAAATGCTAAATTAAAATCATTATAAATTTTTATTTTTTTTTATGCCCTAATTTAGCAATTTCATTCTTTGGAATGTGGTCTTCTTCACACTGTTAGGTATATAATTCGTACATTTTTCACTGATTAATTCTAGTCCTAGATATTTCTTGACAGTTTTGGATCGCTCTGCCAATTAAGGTGACTAACACTAGTGTGGAGATACTGCTGTTTAGCGCGCGCGAAATAGCGTACCCGATAAACAAATCCGACAGCTCATGTAGTTACTATGCTTTACTTCGTTCTCCAAAGGATATACTACTTTTTCTTATAAGCATATCTAGGCCACCAGTAATACTTCACTTAACATCTTTTGCCACAAATAAGATTGGAACATATTAAGCTTAGCCACTGTTTTAAGTTTAAATTAGAAAAAATGGAGTTACTACCCTTTACCTCTACGGTACAGATTTGTATCTTCACCAGCGCCAACTCTGGAACGACATCTTGCATGTACTGTTTCAACGTCTTACTCAATCGTACTCCCTCATTATATTGCCTGGTATTTTATTTTACTTAAACTTCTCCTAGATTTAGTAAAAAATTACGTCTATCATCTTTTTCTCTAGATGAATCCGGGTACTTGATACACCATAAGATATAAGCGTTCAGGCCAAAAATATGCAATATTTGGCCAAACACTGCCATTGGCCATCGGTTGCATACCCTACGAGCATAGTATTACTTTACCATCTTATCTGTGGTATATACTGCACCTTTTGTATGATTATAGTGCAGTATAATATTTGGCTTGTTATTTAATGTTTCATCGGCAACAGCATCATCATGACGTTAAGTCGATAATAAAATAACCGATTTGCCTTTGCTGGTAACATACAAAACCATAGTATGGTCTTTCGAAAAAGAAAACATACCAGAATAACCAGGCTTGAACGATTTGGATAGCAACTCATTGGGAATACATGTTTTATTTTTACGCAGAGTACCACATAGGCTCAGTCCTTTTTTTTGATAGTTTTTTGGCCAGTGGTAAGCTTATAAAAAAAATATCTGTAGGTATGCCATACCCAGAGCTAATTGGCACAATAAGATCAAGGACAACTCTTAAACTTTGATTTTTTTCGGGTGCGTCATTCTTTTTTCCAAGAAAAACTTGTAAATTCATACTGTAAGCATTTTCGCTGTCTGCCATCGCCCAAATTTTTAAGCCATATTTATCAGGCTTGCCGTTCATGTACACACGAAAAGGGCATCACCCTCGGATTGAAACTAGTTGTTTATCTTTGGTAAGATGCGGTCCAGGTAAATATGCCATAGTACAATTTTTCACAAAAGTATCGAACACCTCTCTAATAGATGCGAGTTTATAATGCGCTTTACGCTCAGCTCTGGTCGAATAGTCATCGAAACGAATAAAAAATCCTGTAAGCAACTGAAATCTATTACGTGACATACTTGCGGGAATAATAATAGGCCTAGCGTATTTTTTATCGATACACCATAACATTTTTTGGGGCTCTTTTGTAGCTTGAAGTGCTCCTTGAATAAGCAGAAGTCCTAAATAAGCGCAAATTTCTATATGATCAGTAAGCTGCCAAGTACGTGCTGATTTATTTGGATTTGTTTCGTTCCATTTGTTTATTATCTAAAAAAAATTACCTATCACATTACAATCCGTTTTTTTCACGTCAGACAATTTTTCAATAATTTCTGACTCCATATCACTATCTTTGCCTTCAGAGAACATTATGACATCATCTTCCAATTCATTGTCAGACTCCGCAAACATAAGTCGCTCTAATTCGGCTTTAGATAATCCTTTTGGCATTTTAAAAGTACGGCGGATGCAAAAAGCCAACACTACACTATAACAAAATCGAAGTAAAAATATACTAGTAATTACCGCTACGACGCGACAGGGAAACTAAATACGTGTAACCATCGCATTTTGTTTGATGTTCTGTTCTTAGAGTTACGACGTGCGCGTAGTAATTTGCAAAGCCACCGATAATGTATTTGTTTTTAATTTGAAACATCGTTACTGATTTTATGAATAGGATATTATTTGCAATACCCTAATGGACACAAAATAAAATTAGCCAAACGAAACAGGCGCTAATTTCAAAAATATTACAAAACATATGTATCTGGGGTACAGGCGTACCCCACCCGGAAAGGCGGAGGTTAAAGTTATATTTGTATCAGATACAGAGAAGTTCAATCACTTAAAATAGAAAATATTTAATACATAGTTGTTTATTTTATTTAAATTTATAGTAGCCATCATGTAGGACTCGTTTTTAAATGATTTCGGTTTAAATTCACTAGCGGTATGTTATATTGTTGTTTGATTCGTTTATAAGGACGAGTGAGGTCAATAATTATAATTATGAAGTATGTCAAATCACAGTGAAGGTTTTTAAAACTTTTTACTTGGTGTGATAACAAAAATGCCTACAAAATACTATTTTTGAAAAAAATAGACAATTTATTCTTAATTTATTATAGTATTTTAAGAAGGAGAACGAAACCTATTGTCCATCCTTAGTTAAAACAAAGTTACATAGACGTTTTTGTAGTAGCTGAATAATAATACCGTATAGACCAGTGGTCGCCAACCTATCGATCGCGAGCTACCGGTAGCTCGCGGAGGCAATTCTGGTAGCTCTCACAACGATTTTAATTTAAAAAATAAGAACTGCAAAAATCAGAGAAGCTTCCGAAAATTTCCCAAAAAAATCTAATTGTCATAATATTAAACATAAACAGCGGCAACGTTGCGGTGAGCGATCTGCCCCTGACGCCGTCAAGCTAGAATCGGCTATTTATAGAACCGACCAGCCGGACCAGCGCGTTAGTGTTCGAGAACGATCTGGATTGCTTTAGTTTTAAACTGAACGCGTAACCAACGTCCAGCGATTGGGTTAGTAGAGAACAACAAAAATAATATTATGGCAAGCAATTGTAAGAAGGTAAAGACATACCACTTTCATTCGGAATGGGAAGAACAATACTTTTTTACAGAAGTTAAAGATAAAAATGTATGTTTGTTATGTAATACTTCAGTCTCCGTTGCTAAAAAAGGAAATATTGAGAGACATCATAAAACTATACATTCTAATTTTGAAAAATCATTCCCACTACATTCTGCCGCTAGAAATGAAAAATTGAAACAGTTAATTGGACAGCAATCAATATTTTTAAGAACAGTCGACAAAAATAAGGCTGCAACTGAAGCATCGTACTGTGTGTCCCAGATAATTGCACAAAAAAAGAAACTTTATGAAGACGGGAAAATGATAAAACAGGCGTTTTTAGAAGCTGCTGATTCGTTATTTGCCAACTTTCAGCTATAAAATCTATGCAACTTTTTGCTAATACAGTGATGAGACGTATTGAAGTAATGAGCAATGATATTTTTTAGAGTTAAGAACTGACTTAGATAACTGTGTTAATTTTTCACTTCAACTTGATGAATCAACAGATGTCGTTGACACTGCCCAGGTGGCCGTGTTCATCAGGATGGTTTTTAGTGATTTTACAATTAAAGAAGATATTTTGAAGTTCATTCCACTGAAAAGACATTACACTACTGGATAGGAGTTGTTTTCTCATTTAAAAAATATTATTTCTTCCAAGAAAATTCCAATATCAAAAATGGTAGGCTTGACAACCGATGGCGCTCCAGCTATGGTGGGTTGTGATAAGGGTCTGGTGGCGTTATGTCGTAAAGATGAAATTTTTTCGCAATTTCTCTGTTACCACTGCATTTTCCATCCGCAAGCATTATGTGGAAATTTCCTGAAACTATACAACGTTATGAAACTGGTGGTAAAAATTGTGAACAAGATTAGAGCTCAAGCGTTACAAAGAAGATTATTCAGAACCTTGGCCGATGAAGTTGACTGTCAATATGGGGACCTACTCCTTCACTCTGAAGTCCGATGGTTAAGTAGAGGACGAGTGCTGAACCGTTTTAACGATGTCCTATCTGGCATAGTTTAATTTTTAAAACAACGCGATGAACCGACTACGGAACTAGAAACTTTAATCTGGCTTAGAGATTTTGGTTTTCTCGTGGACATTACAGTGAAATTAAACGAACTTAATTTGCAGCTTCATGGGAGAGACAAGGAACTAGCGGAAATGATATAAAAGCATTTATTTCTGATATAAAAGCATTTACCAAAAAGCTGGAGTTTGGGAACAAAACCTAATTAACAGCGATTCCAAGCATTTTAATATTCTTTCAGAAAAAATATCTCAAAATCCATTAGAATCTTATGACAACAAATATCATGTAGAAATAATTTCTACCCTAAAAGTAACTTCAAAAATCGTTTTAAGGATTTCAATGAAATGGCTTTAGTAGCGCAGTTTGTTGTTTCACCCATTATGGAAATTGATATCCAGCAGTTTGCAGCTTGTGTTATGCAGAACTTTGGCGAAGACATCGCTGCAACAGAAATGGAAGTCATTGAGTTTCAAAAGGATTTAGCCTTAAAATCGTTAGTCTTAAGTATTGAATGTATCTGGCCTATTGTAAGTAAAGACAAATATTCAGTTCTCTGCCGTGTTGCCTTGAAAGTGAAACCATTATTCAGTTCCTATTTGTGTGATTTTACAATTGTGTGAATCTTCTTTTTCCAATATGAAGTTTATTAAGAACAAATATCGCAATCAACTTACAGATGAACATTTGGATAATTGTATTCGAATGGCTGCATCAAATTATACTGCAAACATTAAAAAAATTATCGATGAGTCTGAGTGTCAGCCTTCTTATTGAACGTGCTTTTTTATTTTTCAATTTTTATGTTTATGATAGTGCGTTACTTTTTTGTTGTTATTATTAACTATTTTTAAATCATACGTGACATGCCGTTATGGCTGGATAAAAGTCTGTGTTTATTTTTCAAATACCTTCGTTTGATAGGTAGGAATGTAGCTATGAACAAGTACGTACTAGTAATATTAATTATTTTTTATTAGTTTATTATTAGTACCTATGTATTATGTATTACCAGTTAAACAGTAAAATAAATACATATAATGATAGATTAACTGTGGATTATTTCATTTACGTTGCGTTACACGGCTTCCGTGTGGGTAGCTCGCTGTTTATTCCAAAATTAACAAAGTAGCTCAACACATTGAAGAGGTTGGCGACCACTGATATAAACGATGGAGTACCACGATATAAAAACACAAGATGGTGTGCAATGCCTAGGTCTGGTGCCTAGGACGAACCTGGTCTTCAGGAATTTTGTATTAATTTAATACAAAATTACTGAAACATCATTACTCGTGGGTTTTGGGGTCGCTAAAGATTAACATATGTGTGAATAAGTTTTTTGTAATTAGGATACAAAATAAGTGTAAAATAATTACTTAGGGAGTCTTGGGGTCGCTAAACTCTACTATCATATCGCCAATCTTCTCTGCGGCACCTGGTGCTCAGAAGTGTTTGTGCATTGGAGTGTTATGAAGACTAATTGTGTATTGAATTTCCACAAAACTACATAAGCCAGGCCTGTTCTCGGTACCAGGTCCCTTGCACATCATTGGTGAAATAGTATTAGTGTGCACGTTCCCAAAAACCCCTGAATAATGAGTTTTTATTTTTTTTTGTTTCAAATTTCCACGCAACTCTAGGAAACGAGGCCCACGGACACAAAGTACCTCGGTGATGTTTTTTTTTTGTTTATTAATGCAAGTTTAATTTTAACATTATCATTTTTTGTTCACAAAATTTTTTGATGCTCTTACGAATCGAATGCAATAAGTTTCATTGAAATTCATTCTAACTGTGAAAATTTGGAAGGTTTTAAGCTTTTAAGTCTTTTGCGCTTCTCGTAATAATAATAAAATCAGACGATTGTCAATAGAGACTTTTCTTTCCACATCATTTGGATGAACTCATTGCACCACTAAAATATTTTTTTGTTATTGAAAGTTGGTTCTTCTGTATAACTCAAAGATAAAATTGTTTAATACATTACTAAATAAGAAAGTTAAAAACAAAATTGTTAAAGAACAGGAAGTTGTAACAGATATAAAAAAAGAAGGCTTAAATATTTGGACCAGCTTATGACAGTACAGTGTGATGGAAGAACGAAGAAAATTAAAAGGTAGAAATGACAACAAATACAAAAAGCTGCATAAGACTAAAGGAGATAAAAGAAGATAAAAGGAACAAAAGAAGCAAGACTGACGGAGAAATGTATGAAAGTTGAAACACTTCAACGCAAACAGGACGATTTCCATCTGAACAAAAAAAATAAAGAGGTACAGAATACCAGAAAACAACGCAATATAGGCATAGTTGTAGACATGGAAGGCCAAGTTTTGACTACTATTGAAGATACATTACGAAAACGGAAAGAATATATGCAAGAATTATTCTAAGATGCAGCACGAAGTCCGACTGAAATAAACAATCGCTACGGCCCAGAGATAACAAACAAAGAAGAAACTATGGCCATTAAGCGAATTAACCTTTCAGTGCTAACGCATGGTCTCACAGACGGAGCTAACCTATTCATACCGATAATTAACGATCTATTTCGATATTCAGGCTAGGTCATTCAATAGCTTCATATTTTACCTAACCGTTGTTAGTATTAAAATATTGTTGAACGTAGATACATAGTTCGTTCGGTACACAAGAATTCGGTCTCAGAGACGGAATTTAGCTTTTGCGGCTGTATTAAAGGTAAGGATTGTAATTTTTAGCGTTGTATTTTTAGTGAATAAAACAATATTTTTTTACTTTTTAAAAATAGAAATGAACTAGGAGGAGCAGCCAAAATATTTGCAGAGACTTCTAGAGGTAGTTGATAGTAATAATGAATAGGAATGCAACGATTTTGCGGATAGTTCTGAAGAAGATGAAGTTGAAATACAAGATCTTGATACAGATAGTGAACAGGATATTTCAGAAACAGAAAATGATGTTTTTGATGAGGCAGAAGCACAAAATATTTGCAGCCGAGTTCCTATTTTTTTTTTTGTAAGGATAAAAAAATTAAATGGCGAAAGCATATTGGTAATAAGCGGGTGCGTACGAGAGCAGACAATTTAAGGAGGCATTTACCAGGTGTAAAGGGGGATGCTACGGAGAAAATAATCTTTAGTGATATTTGGGGCTGTTTTATAACAGACCAGATGTTGGAACTTATTGTAAAAAATATAAATATAAATATTGAACTACATGCTGATCCTTTGAATAGAACCTATAGAACGACAGATATACTAGAAATAAAAGCACTTATAGGCCTGTTGTACATAGCAGGGAAGTTTAAGAATAACCATCTCAATGCTCGCGACTTGTTTAGAACAAACGGTACATCCTTAGAAATATTTCGCCTTACAATGTCATACGAGCGATTCAAATTTCTATTGGCATTTATTCGCTTTGATAATAAACAAACTCTTGCAGAGAGACAAACAGTTGATAAATTAGCTCCTATCAGAAGATTTTTTGAAGACTTCAACACCAATTTGCCAAAACACTACGCCATGTCACACTATTGTACAGTTCATGAAAAATTAAAAGCCTTTAGGGGCCGCTGTGGGTTTAAAGTTTATATGCCAAAAAACCAAATAGGTACGGTATAAAAATATATGCCTTGACTGATGCTAAATTAGCTTATACCTCAAATTTAGAAATTTATGTTGGTCAGCAACCAGAGGGATCCTACCAGCAAACCACAAAGACTTTGGATTTAGTAGTACGTTTGTGCAGACCTATCTGGGGTACAAATAGAAATGTTACTCTTGATAATTTTTTTACCAGTAAGCAGCTTTCTGACACATTACTGGCCAATCACTAGCTAACTATAATTGGAACTCGAAGAAATAAGCCAAAACTGCCTTTGGAATTTACGGCGCCTATAAATAGGCCTACTTCTACAATGCACTATTGTTTCGTATATTCCAAAACCGAAAAAAAATGTACTCCTGATGTCAACAATGCATTATGAAGATGATACGTTGGATTCAAAGACTGGTAAGCCTAACATAATAATTGATTACAACGAAACCAAAGTAGGAGTCGACACTATTGATAAGATGTGTGAAAGCTACAATTGTGCAAGATCGACTAATCGCTGGCCCATGGTGATATTTTATGCAATATTGAATATCGCCGGCATAAATTCATTTACAATATTCAAGTGTAATTCTGCTCAGACAGACCAACGCATACTACTTAGAAAAACATTTTTAGAGACAATGGGTATTCAACTGCTTGAACCACATGCAAGACGTAAAGCAATTGCAACAAACCCGCCAAGGGTGATAAGTATGCCACTCAGAGAAATGTTTGATATCACATTAAATGTAAAAAATATTGAAAAATCTAATGGTAGTTGTTTTTACTGTGGAAGCAAGAAAAGTCGAAAAACAAAGTAGAATAAATTTATATGCAATTTATATGCAATAAATTTATGTGCTTAGAACACATAAAGGGTATATGTGTGGAATATTCAGAAAAAGATTGACTTTTTTTAAGTTTAAAGTTACTTCGTATTATTAGAGTTGCTTAAGTGTGGTTATTTAAGTGGATAACTTCATTTTTAATTTAAAAATAACTCAGCAAATTTTTTGTTTATATTACGATTTTAGAGTTTTTTTCTCACTTTTTAGAATAGTTGCTTGTTTTTGTTAAGGAATTAGTTTTGTCAAAATTACTTACTTACTTACTTACTCCGTGGCGTTACAACCCTTCGTGGGTTTTAGCCGACTCAACAACATGTCTCCACTGTTTTCTATAGAACTTTGTCAAAATTAATGTTTATAAATATAATTTTTAAATAAAACTGCATTTAATTTAAATAAAAAAGTATTCAATAAGATCCTTGAAATAATTAAATTTTAAAAATTTGTAAAATTTACAGTACTAGGGCATTGTTCTGAAGCTATTTTCTTGTGGCATTTAAAATTAATTACTATTTAACTGGGAATAAGCCACAATTAAAGATAAAAATACGTTTATTGACGTTTCAATTTCCACTTTGGAAATCGTTCTTAATTCCTGATTCGCTCCAAAAGACTGGAACCAAATTAGAAAATTATAGACCCATTAGCCTCTTGATACATATGTACAAATTCTTTATGAAAATCTTAACAAAGAGGCAAACACCTAATTTTGATTTCTGACACAAATGACCATTTTCATACCATAAAGATCTTAATAGAAAAGTGCATCGAGTACAACATACCACTGGTTCTTGCATTTGTCGATTAGGAGAAGGCTTTTGATTCTGCACAGTTCTAAACAATACTGGAAGCTCTAAATCTAAGCCTAATAGATACACGACACTAATCACAGGTACACGACACTAATCCAAAAAATATAAGAGAACGCTACATCATACGACTACATTAAGACACAGAAAAATTCAGCTTAGGTCAAGAAGTTAGACAAGGAGACAATATTTCTCCAAAATTGTTCACGGTAGCTCTAGGGTCAATATTTAAGAGCACTTAATGGCAAGATATGAGCATTAATATAGATGGAGAAAGATTAAATCACCTAAGGTTTAACTTACATGATACAGTTTCTATGATGTATTCGCTTAAAAGTCGTTTTGAAAGAGCAGGATTAAAGGTAAACTTTGAGAAAACTAAACTTATAACAAATCTCGTAATGAAGGGAAATATAAATATTGACAATAATAGCATACAACAAACAGACACTTATAAATATCTAGGACACGAAATCAAAATAAGCAGAGACATTGGAGGCATTTGAAATGTGATGCAACCGACGTGTGTTTAGAGTCTTATTATATACACTAAACAAGTAATATTACAGAGAGGACAACGAACATCATGCGTAATGATAAATACCGAATTCTACAGTTAATTCTACAAGGCAAGATTGAGGTTAAGAGAGACTCTGGACGTAGACATATATCCTGGCTGGGCAATTTTTGAAAGTGGATTGGTCTAACGTCAACTGATCTATTTCAAGCTGCTGTAAACAAAATAAAATAAGTCAATGTGGGAGCCAACATCTCTAGAAGATAGGCACATTTAGAAGATGACAGTACAAAAATATATAATATTGCATAACATGCAACGCAAATTCAAAGAAAGGAGAAATCTGACTTGTTTTATAATGACAAGATGTAAATTAGCTTTAGACTGCACCTCAATTTAATATTTAGATAAGTAGTAAAAAAGGTTAGCATAGCCTTGATGGGTTTCAATCTCTGATAGTTTTGAGAACAATGGGGCTACCCACTGACTTAAACATCATGGACGACCGTTCGAGATGGAAGCAGGTTGTGCAGTCAGCCAAGACCCACCCAGATGGACTGTAGTGCTACCAGAAGAAGAAGAATCTCTGATAGCAGCTGCATAGTAACAAAAAAATGTATTCCATTTCAGTCTTTAAGATCATGTCGTTTATTAGATTACAAATAATTTTTTAGAAGTCCTGGACTTTTTAAAGTTAATTTATAAATTTCACGGTTTTTTTATGCATTTAAAATTGTTTTAATACTTTTACTTTTAAAGTTATATTTAATGTTAAATTGCTCATTTTTTACATGAATAGAAAAACGTATAACTCTTTACAAATGAATAATTATTATATAACTATATACAACTTTTTAAATAATCTATCGTATATATTAACTGGCCTAAATTGAAGAACCACGTAATTTACCTGTTATGTAGGAAGTTGTCTCCAAGGCGACTTGATCTGGAACTGACGCAAAACTTTTGCGAGCCGCTTCCACGCTGCCATTGAAATTGTCCTCTCGTGCTAATGTATCCAAATGCCTTATTTTAGGGTCACTTGTCAACTGAAAACGCAAATGGAGATTAACTAGATACTTGGATTGCTAGTAAGACGTTTAAAAAACAATTTCATTAAGTTTGGTAGATTTTACACCTCGCTAATATCACTGAAAACTTTTAAGAAAAATATGTCAAATTTTAGATAATCGTTTTTAGAAATAATGTGACAAAAATATTATTAATGGTTCTTTAATAAAATTTTATTTTAATAATAAAACCGTCAATATAATATATTTAATAGTTTCCAATATTTCAACTATTAATATTAATTAAATTCTTTTTGTAACTTTCCATGTTTAAACTTGTTTCAAGCCTCTGAAATAAAATATAATACAATATTGTATTTTTATGTAGTGTATTCTTAGTACAATAATTTTAGTTAAAAGATATAAAATATGCTTCCATATCATCCGTGGCTAGCGTGAATAACTTGACAAGTCAAAATATTGCATTTTTCTGATATTTATTACAACAGATTGTTTATTAATGACTTTATGCGGTGAATAAGTGAATATCTTGAGAAATCACATTAATAACTTATTGTGAATATACTGACAACTCTTTGAAAGCCGCGATATATCTAATATCTATAGATATGAAATTGATAAAACAAAATTTAAATTTGACCAGTCGAGTTGTTGACTTAATCTTTACTTTAGATTCCTTAACGTATTTTTATAACTCATGTTGTGATGTTACACTTGTTAGAATGCCACTATATCTAATGTGATACCTTGACTTATACAGTTATTCCCGCTCTTCTTGCTGTAATATTAAATTTATAACTAGTTATGTGAAACTTGACGTCTCTTTTCTAACTATTATGTATTTTGATATCTTGACTTAACATTTTGGGTACAATATGATCTTAAGTTGATAAAATGAGATGCACGATTTGTACATTTCCAGCCTTCAATATCGGAATGCTTCGATTAGATGCGTGGGTCACGTGATGTACATACAGTTAAACGGTTTTCACTACGGACATCAGTTACCTCTGTTACGACGGCGAAGCGGGTACAATTTTTAAGAGAATTGCACAAAAATGCCAAACAAGGTTGTGTACCAAGTAATGATGAGGAATTTCTGGAAGTGGAAAATCTTATTCCAGAGAATAAAAGTGAAAGTTGTTCACCAACAGGACAAAAAAATATTCTAGAAGAAGGTAAGTGTTTCGCTTTACTCTAAGGAATGCATGTTAATTTCGTAAAAAAGTTTATAAAAATAAAAGTTGCATGTTTATTTTTGTATTCAAGTGTCAAATTGTGAGATATTGTTAGACGAAATGGGTTTTAAAATGTATGTCGTATGGTATGGTTATAACGTTGATTGAATATAGGCTTAAAGGCGTTACAACTATTTATTTTAATTATAAATTATCTTATCCACACTGAAAACATAACTGTTTTAATTTTTTTTCTTCGAAGTATGGGGCACACAATTTTTTAGTTATGTTTCATAGTAAAATTTAGCCCAGGAAATATTTTAATATTTGTGGACATTGCAGTAAGTACAAAATATTAACTAAATAGTCTCGTAAAAATAAAATAACATAAACGTTATTGTTTTATGGTATCTTTAATTTAAAAAGTTGTAAACTGCCGAATCTAAAAGTTGGTCTATATTTCTGAATATTTTGTAAAATAATACTTTGCAAAGCAAGATGCTGAATTAAAATCATCAAATTTTTTTCGAAATCGATCGTCTAACATTTATCAAATAAAGTAGCTGCTATATTACTGTAGTTTTTTTGCTAATATGACTACGCGAAACTTATTAATGCAATTCTAAAAACGTGGATGTTAATTAGTTTTTAATAGTTTCTGATAATATCAACGAAAATTTTTGTGAGAAATGTATTTAAATGAGCTGGGTGTGTAGAATTGTATATTAAATTATCATTGTTTTTTTTTTAGACTTAAATCTCTCAGACGATAGTGCAGCAGATCCAGATTATGTTTTACTGAAAGAAAATTTCATGAAACATTCAGTCATAAACCTGCAAAATGACGAGAGCAACTCCAATACGGAAAATCTTCCAGTTTTGCAAACTCTAACCAGTAGCAATAATACAAAAAAAAAGTCGATCACGAAGAGAAAGAGAAGAATGTAAAAGGCTTAGAAATGCAGAAGAGAGCTATATTACATAAAAAGGTAAAATTATACCCAAAAGATTATCGAAAAACTTATTACCTTGTAGACTAAAATGTGCTGAGATGTTTAGTGAAGCCGAAAGGGCTACATATTTTAATAAGTACTGGAAGTTAGGGAGTAAAGATGGAAGGGCTATATACATATCGGGGTTAGTTTCAATTTTACCTAAAAAGATCCAGAAAACCGACGTCAGTTCAATAAATAGAGAGTGTTATTGTACATACAAAATGATCATTAATAATAAAGCAAAACAAACCTTTAAAGAATGTTTCTGTAGAATATTAGAGGAGACTAAGGATTTATCAATGTACTTGTCCAGAAGAAGAAATTTTCTTCAACCGGAATAGAATCCGATCAAAGGGGTGTAGGTCCTCCTGCCAATAAAAAAAAGTATAGACGATATAACTTCAGTCAAAAATCATATTCTATCTTTTCCTAGCTACGAAAGCCATTACTGTAGAAAATCCACAAATAAAACTATTTATCCACTGATCTTTTTGTAGCAAAAATGTATAGGTTATATAAAGAAACTTGCTTACAGCCGCTTTCTTTAAAACTGTACTTAAATTGTTTTTACGACTTAAAACTGCCTTTTAAAAAACCATCAAAAGACACGTGTCACACGTGTGATATGATAACGTTGCAGATGAAGTTAGTTAAGGAAAATGGAGATTTAAAAATTCAATTAGCTGATAATCATTTGCAGACTGAAATGGCTTATTCTGCAAAACGCGCCAGTAAAGCAAGAGCTCAAGAAGATTCCTCGTTTCGGGCTTATGCGTTTGACCTCCAACAGTGTCTACCCACACGACTTTTACAAACCTCAATTGCCTTTTACAAACCTAAATTGCCTTTTAAATGATTTTTTAACTTTGCTGAGCTTGGCTTAAGAAAAAGACCTTTCACAATTAGAAAAAAGAATGTTGCTGGAGATAAGTTTTTATGGCAACCAGTTAAATAGCTGAAATATCAATAATCCGTTAGCAAAAATTATTTTAAAGAAAATCTCGAGATAATACCCCCTTTAATTTTCTTACTTTCAAAAAAAAAACATACACACTCCTTTCACTAAAACGTAATAACGAAAGAACCTTTACCAATAAGCAAAGATCTGGATATTTTGCATTAGAGCCCTTGTTCCATGACTTCTATTCAAATATAAAAACAACTGAAACCAAATCATCTCGATCGAGAAACAGATCCCGATATTGACGAAAGAGATCCAGTTGATGTCGATAATGACAATGCAGATGAAGCGAGCATGGAATAATAACAAAAACAATTATGGTTTTTAATTTTATTTATATGTGACAAAGAAGACTGTTTTTTTATTTTAATCACAATTTATTTTATTTTCCTATTAGTTTCTGAAATAAACATTCCAAACCGAAGGGCATGTTTTATTTCTCTGTTAATCTATTTCATCAGAATTATTTGAATCAGAGTAAGTTGCTTATGGTGAATAAGTTGACAAGTACTAGATGAACAATGTGACAAGTCTGATTTCTATAAAATAACCAAAGAAAATGCCACGTCTTTTCAGATTTGGAAAAATCGACTAAAATTACTTATATTTACGACACTAAACTAAAAAAAAGTTAATAATCTTTTTTACACCTAATTGTCAAAAATTAAAATCAATGCCCTGAAAAACTGTGTTTTTAGACTTATCAACATATTCACGCCAGCCACAGGTCTTAGGAAAATAAGAAAATAAAGACTTGAAACTTTTTAGATTAAATTTACACATAGAACTCAAAATAAGGTTCTAGAGAATGTCGAAATTACACATGCTATAAAGCGGACTATGTCTGATAAAGGCTCTCTTGTCGTTTCCTCATTGCTGAGGATCGTGATTCCCTACAATGCGGGCTGTCAATTCTCCCCATCTCTTGCGATTTTGGGCTGCTCTCATGGACTCGGAAAACGTCTCTCCAGTGGCTTTCTGTACTTGATCTGACCATCGGATAGGTGAGCGTCCTCGGCCTCTACGTCCTTCTACGTTTCCGCACACAATTAGTCTTTCTAAGTTGTCATTGTCTCTTCTCGCAATGTGGCCAAAAAACTTTAAAACATTTGCAAGACACTGAGAGGAGAGTCTGGTCTGAATGTTTAGCTCTTCGAGAATCGACTGATTGGATCTGTGCTCCGTCCACGAGACGCGTAGCATTCGTCTCCAGCACCACATTTCGAATGCGTCAATCCTTTTCCTATCCTCTGATCTTATTGTCCATGTTTCGGCACCGTAACTAAAGATTGAAAAAACGAGTGTCCGTACCAGTCCCATTTTGAGTTTTTTGGACAAAGAGCGGTCCTTCCATATTTTTGACAGTCGACTCATCGCGTTCTTGGCCATTCCTATTCTTCTGCGAATTTCCGTATGGCAGGAGGCTGCATTGCTTAAGGAAGATTCTAGATACGTAAACTCGTCTACTTTCTCGAATTGATTTAGGGCGCCTGTTGTTTGGAGGATATTCGTGTGGTCCACAATCATGATTTTTGTTTTCTGATTATTAATCTTGAGCCCACACTTGTTGCTCTCGGTTTCTACTCTCTTTATCAGTCTCGACATCTCCTCTTCAGATGTTGCTGATAAAGGCACTCCCATGAAAATTAACAAAAAAGCAAAACTGCTGGTGCCTCTTCTAAACGTTCAGCGGCGAATACTGGGATAAAGACGCAGTCATTCCCAAAGAAAACCCGAAAAATCTATACCACAGAGTGATATTGGGGCAGTAGGGGGTTAGGTTTATGTAAATGGTTCTTCTTTGTCAACAATTTTCCATCCACTTCTGAATGTAGGTCTCTCCCAATTGCTTCCATCTTTCTTTATCTTGCGCCAATCTAATCCACTGTTTGCCTGCCACTGCTCTTATGTCATCTACCCATCTTTTTTGAGGTCTTCCCATGCTTCTTGTTGTCGTCCTTGGTATCCATTCTAGAATTCTCCGTGTCCACCTGTTGTCATTATATCGGGCTACTTGACCTGCCCAGCGCCATTTCATTTTTGTAATTTCTTCCACAATATCCCTAATCTTCGTTCTACGTCTTATCTCGGTGTTTCTAATCTTGTCTCTTAGTGATATTCCAAGCATGATTCGTTCCATTGTAAGTGCTACTGTCTCCAAGCCGTAGGTACAAACAGGTAGTATGCATGTGTTATACACCTTCTTCTTTAAGTTTATAGTAATGGAGCTGTTTTTCAAGATATGTGCTAGTTTGCCAAAAGCGCTCCAAGCCAGTTGTGTTCTTCTTTTAATTTCAGCATCTTGATTTGGTTTTCCTAGTTTGATAACATGACCTAGATATACATAATGTTCCACATTTTCTATGGTATGATTTTGTATTGTTATATTTGTCTGGTCTCGGCTCAGTATTTTTGTTTTGCTGTAATTCATTTTTAAGCCTACCGCTCCTGAAACTGCATTTATTTGTTGTAACATATCATTTAGTTCTTGGATATTATCGGCTAATAAAACTATGTCATCTGCGAATCTCAAATGGTTTAAGTATATTGTTCTGAAGCTATTTTCTTGTGGCATTGTAAATTAATTACTATTTATAACTGGGAATAAGCCACAATTAAAGATAAAAATACGTTTATTGACGTTTCAATTTCCAATTCGGAAATCGTTCTCAAAATACAAAGAGTAAATTAAACAAATTTTGTTTTTTGTTACATAGTGAAAAAATTCTTCTAATAATTTAATTTTATCTGACTCATTTATATTGACAATTCAGACATACATTATGCATTTTAAAGTAGACGACTTTAAAATGATATTTTATTTAAGGCCATTAAATGTTAGAATAAGCGAACATCAATCTTATATTAAAAATAGAGAATTTGATAGATCTCAAATATGTAAACACGCATGGGATAATGAACATAGGGTTCAATGGAATAATTCAAATATAGTCCCAAAAGAAACGGATGGTAAAAAAAGAAAAATCAAAGAAGCGGCTCTAATTATGCTAAATGAGGCCAATTGTGTCGCAAATTCCTCGGCAGAATGTAGTAGGATGTGGTTACCAATATTGAAAGAGGAAGTTATTAATAAGAAAATACCAGTATTAGTAAGTCAGTAACATATAGAGGATACATCATTTATGTTTTTTAAATAACGTAACATATAAAATCAGAATTTTGATGTTTGTTGAAGGTAAACTAAATTCACGAACAAATACTTACAATGTCGGGATAGTATTATGAGGTTTTTTTTCCTGGTTTTTTCCCTCATAATTTACTATGGAATCACTAACAGGAGAATTTTACTGTCATCATGTCATGTGTTTGTCTTTTTAAAGACGAATTACATGCTATGATTTTTTCTGACGGATATTCTCAAGTTAAAGTTGATTTCATGTAATCGAATGAACTATCTTATAAGTAAAGTCGTCCCAGGAACGCAACTCAACAATATTGGCAATATCATTTTAAAGTCGTCTACTTTAAAATGCATAATGTATGTCTGAATTGTCAATATAAATGAGTCAGATAAAATTAAATTATTAGAAGAATTTTTTCACTATGTAACAAAAAACAAAATTTGTTTAATTTACTGTTTCTATTTTGAGAACGATTTCCGAATTGGAAATTGAAACGTCAATAAACGTATTTTTATCTTTAATTGTGGCTTATTTCCAGTTATAAATAGTAATTGGTTTAAGTATGGTCCGTCGACGTTGATGTTGAGATGGTGTCTCCTTGTCTTACTCCCCGTTGTAGTCTTCTGGGATTAGTTTTTGTGCTTTCGTCCAGATTTATACGCATGGTGGCATTTTCCTACATGTTTTTAATTATGTTAATGTATCTTGAATCTATGCGTGCATTTTCTAGAGATTCAAGCACTGCCCATAATTCGATGGAACCGAATGCTTTATGGAAATCGACGAACGCCATATGAATTATACTCGGTGCATTTTTCTATCGGTGTTCTTACGGTGTGCAAGTGGTCT